GCTCGAGTGGAAGTACCGCAACGACCACGGAAATCTACCTAGACTAGGTACTTACCTACATGTAGGTGCCACCTGCACACTATCACGGGGAGGATCCCGCCAACAACAACATCCATGTTGATGTTCTACCATAGTAACTCTTATGACAGCAATATTATATACTTGGGTACCTCAAAGCAGAGGCATCTGGAGTTCGTTTTGTTACGGAGTACGAAGTATTGTCCCCCTGAATCAGGATCCTCTTCAAGGGCCTACGAAATCTAGAACATCGCAGTCAACCTCCTCAGCTCCCCGTGCTAATTGCTAATGGCAACAACCCATGAACCATCTCGTCATCCCTGCTTGGCGAACACAGATCTCGAAAGATTTTCAGACAGCCTGACAGGGGCTCGCGGAGCTGCGGAATACAAGTTACTTACCCAAGGTTAGCTGTCGCAACTACACCGCAGACGCATCAAATAAGGAAGCCGAAAAGAAGTATCGTGGAAAATCGATATTACAACATGCTCTGTCTTCTCTCGTCTAGCATGCCGCTCCTGGCCAGCCAACCACCTTACCTTTCGGGCATGTTGACACGCGTTCCATTTCAGTCCCCATGGTCCAGCATGTCACCTTCTGTCTTTCTTGGCATCGAGAACGTTGGAAAAGCCGTGCAATCGGCCATCGGGGCGGTATCGTTCACGTTCTACCACATGGCCGGCTTATGCCGCCGACGAAGCTGGTGCTGTACCTGCTCCTCCAGGAGTCCACTGTCATCGCTAGGTGCCACCCCCCCAGGGCAGCACCTCCCTCGATCGAGAGATAGAACCGTATCGTGAGGTCTGGCGAGCGTGGCCTGCCCACAGGACTGGTGCACTTCACTTACCCGGCCGCATTGGTTCTCCGCGCACGAAAGGGACTGTGGTTGTGGAGACTCGTCTGAATGAGAGGGACACTATCATTCCGATATGTATTTGCCCAGTACTCTGCTGCAATGTCCAGTTTATCCGTCAACACAATTTGGCATGACGCCAGTCCAGCCCAGCCTTCATATCTAACGGGACAACAGCAGTTCACTGTCGAATGGATCACCCCTGTTCCAGTCCTACGCACCCATCGTGCATAGTACTTTTCTGAGGCCTTCTCCTACGCGCCCCCCCCCCCCCCCCCCCCCCCCCCCCGCGGCTCTGTGCCGATCATTACCCCATCCCACTCCGTGTGACCAAGCGGCGAATATTTGGCGATGCTTTGGACGTCATCAAGACGATACAGAGCTTATTCAGACTTCCACCCACCAGCTAATTACTAGATGCCTTCCCGTCAGGGGAATACTCCGCCCCCTTCCCCAGGGCCCCAATCCCCTTTTTTTTCGCTACCCAACAATGGCAGGGCCGCGTGAATAGAGTTATCTTCGATCTGTGATGACGGAGAACTTTGGTGCTTACTACTTGGTAACATCTGGAGCTGGACCAGCCATCAAGCCAGTGACACTGCGCACGAGCTGGAGTAAAGGTACAGGCAGGTACACCGTCACTGGCTCATGCGAGCTCTGGTATCAACTGCAATTTACCACCTCTGCCTAACGCGTGGGGTCCCTGTCGATACGGAATCATCAGATCTATATCCAGGCGAGAGATGTGCCCGGACAATATCTGACATGCTGCAGCGGCTCCTCTACACCCTTGGGGTTCCATCCCGGGAGTCGAGCAAAGCACACTCGTGTGCTGGTGCCTCTCATGCCAATTATGCACGCCCGCCCGCCTTAGCGAGTTCTAGCGAGCCATGACTCGGCTGGTACCCCGAGCAAAACCGTAGAGTGTTTGATTATACCCGTACCTGATGCAGCGGCTTACAAATGATGGATCCATTCAAATGATGGATCTATTAACTGCTGCAATGTGATTTAAAGCCGCATCGCTAGGTTCTGGCTGATATAAACCAAGTCATTAGGCTCTTTGAACCTGTTGGTTTTTTCTCGTCGTGACCCCCTGAGTGCGGGTCGTCGACACGGCCTGGAGAGTATCTGTAAAGTAGGAGGGAGATGGAAGCACGAGAAAGAGCTAGGATCCTCATCTATCCCCCTTGAACAGATCTCTCTCTCTCTCTCTGCTCCCCATTTCCCTATCTCTGCTGCAAATCGGGATTTCAGCCAGAACTTCTCGAGTCTGGATGAGCCTGCCAGCCTATGGAAGTCGACCGGCGATTTATGGAAAGCCGGGCCGCGTTTCCGGGCCTCGGTGCGCCGTGCCCACGCAGCAGAAGCACAGCAGCCACACGAACATCACCTCTCTCCCACGTTCGTCGCTTGGACAGCCGCATGAACTTCTATAATAGACAGCTCAAGATTCCGCGGCGCTCATGCATCATGTCTCAGAGGACGCTTTCGGAGCCCCGTGATCGGTGTTCTCCTTCACTACTTTCACTACTTCTTCTACTACTACTTCTTCTTCTTGGCTCCGCCAGAGAGCAGAGGATGATAATGCCTCGATCCGGAAACGGGCCTTGCACCATGCCTTTCATCCCCACGATGTTACGACAGCCAGAAGTTCTTCCGTTGACCAAAACCTGGGTCTGCCTGACGCGGCCCAAACACCCAGTCGGGCCGCAGCTTCAGGGGCCACCATAGTGGACCACCGGTGAGAGAGGTATTGGCCGCATCGAGACTGGTGCATCGAGACTGGTGCATCGAGACTGGTGCATCCGCGATGACCTCGCCAGCGCGTCCATCTTCATTCACATCGTACTGATATCTGTGGCCTTTTGCGCTGCGCTACCTGCGATCCCGTGCTGCTCTCACAAACACCCTCGACGGCTCTCGTATCGGCATCTGCATTTCTATCTGGACTACCAAGGCTGCCCATGTTGCTATTCATCGCGCTTGGTCAATGAGCACTCGGTCAGAGAGCGGCTCAGATCTGAGAAATCCGCATGCTGCAGTGTAAGTAGGGGGGAAGAGGGGCTTGAAGACGCATTCAGACGTGCATATCGAACTCCTACAGCTTAATTCCGTGCCGTTGATGAGCAACAGTTGCCAGAGATTCATGGGCACAATCTCGCAGGTGACGGGCTTCGTGCTACAGCAAAGTAATCGAGCCACCATACAAAGTATACCGACCCTCTTCAAAGTAACTTGTACACACCATTGTCTGCACTTTGGCGCCAGTACTTACTGTTTTCTATCCGAGTCTGGAACCAGCCTCCGCCTCCGCCTCCGCCTCCGACAGCTGGCAGAGAGCAGCAATATTCTTTCGTTGTGCACGACCTTATGATGATCCTCAAGCGTTGGCAAAGAGAAGAAGGGTGAGTCTCGGTATGCCATGACTCCAGCCGGCTTGATAACATTCCTCCTAACCTAGCTACCATGGAGGATGGGAAATCACCGGTCTATACCTGAACGGACCTGTTAGCCACGATAAGTCTCTTTCTTTCTTTCTTTCCTTCCTTCCTTCCTTCCTCCCACCTCCACGGAGCCGAAGTCCCTTGAATGATCGCGTCAAGACTGTCCAGTCAATATGGTAACGTCCGGTCCGTGGCTTGCCCACGAGGGAATCGAAGTACTAGCCATGAAGCTGTTGACGCATTCCATTCTTTTCTTAGGAGTGCACCGGAAGAATCTTCGCCTTCCTCTGGACATTCGAAGAAGACGCATGCGGTAAGGGCAAGTGTGCAATGAAGCGTCAATTTACTGATCCCAGGGGGCAATCAGTCCACGGCGGGAGGAGGAGATAAGTTGACATAAGATGACAATTGTGATGGTGCTGAGCAAATTGCATTGCACTGCACAACGAAACAAATGAACGACGAGGGTAGGTAACATAGATAGATACGTTATCCCCATGTGAGGTTGTTGCCCGGCAAACCCCAAAGCAACACAACACAGAACGCGGCCAGGCCTCACTCATTCCCACCGTAGCGACATCGTCTAAGCCTTGCAGTCACAGATATGGCCACATATTCATCACTCTTTCGTGTCCTCGCAAGCCCACTCCAGTCACCCTACCCTCTGCCAATGTTCTTCTGTATTGAACAACTCGATTTCTTCTGTCACTTTAAAGTCTCAGGTGCACCGGCGCGTCTGTCTGTGGTCCTGTATGGATGTATATATGTAGGCTGACTGGCTGATTGACTGATACCCATGAACCCACACACCGAGGGGGAAAACAGAAGGCAGAGAGAGATATCGTATCGTGGTCCGTGGGAATCTGACAGATGGGCACTCACTTATCTTGAAGCTGGCTGACAAGAATGATTCGCCGATATTCCATGACCGATCTACATAGGTACATAAGTAAGTCAGGTGAGTCAGGTAGGTAGTTTATTCACCACTCGAAAACAGAAGAACTGGAACGATTTCCATGCATACATACATACCGTCAGGGATGGTGGAGGGGAGAGCAGGAATTGGGTGTTTTCTAAGTCGAGGGGGATATTGATGACTCCTGCATAGTTCTGTTACCTTCGCCTATCATAAGCGGGCTTGAGAGCCATCTCCTTTTCAGAAGAAATCCAGCCGCTCATGCCAGCCTACGTGTTGATATATCTGGCTTTCGAAACATGTAATAAGCAAGGTTGGGCTGGTGCTTATGGGAGTTGAGCATATTCTGTATCTACTGTTTGAGTACCTAGGTAGTCATCATGATGGCTCGACTGACTGACCACCAGCCGTGGAGAGGAACATGTTTCTCTTCCCCTTTGATTTCGACACAGCCCTGCATCAATCAATCAGCAGAGGCTGGCGCAAAAAAAAAAAAAAAAAAAAAAAAAAAAAAAACAGGGAGCACGTAACAAACAAAGGCAAGCAAAATTGCTGATGTCCGTCTCATTCATTGTTATTCAGGGGCTCTTCAGCTTCGAAAGCACAGTATCCTGTAAAAACGAAAGAACAGGCTCAAGGTAGCGTTTTGCCCTAAAAAGCATAAACCAACGTTCTTTGCGAGAGCCCTACAGCAAAGGTATGGATGGGGAAGTGACCACGAGAGGGTAGAGACGTAAGAAGAGATGAAAAGACAACAAAAAAATATTCTCCCAGACCTGAGTCGAACAGGTGACCTTTCGGTAATCAAGTTTTCATCTTTCAATTACAGCCGAACGCTCTAAACCAACTGAGCTACTAGGAGATGTTCAAATTCTCCATATTACCCTCCCATATAGTTTACTGCAGCATCGACTCTGTCCAAAATGGATTTTCGCATGCATCACATCGCACCTGAAAACAAACAAAAGATTAGAAAAAAATATGCAATCCGCAAGCTCTTACTCAACCTGGAAGTTAAACCCGATGCGGGGTAGTCTATCATGAATATTGCTCCAGAAACAGAGGGGGAAGAGAAAAAGAAATGTCATACATAAACCGCTACCAGCAGCGCAAAACGATAATTACAAAGAAGATAAGGTCAATCTGGGAATCGAACCCAGGCTTTCAGAATTGATTCACAATTTCTTGTTTCGAAATCAAAATCTGACGTCCTAACCCCTAGACGAATCGACCTTGAGTCGAACGCGTGCTTTTATCAGCTTATGAAACGGAGTACGCATGGCGCGGGGCCGGAAAACTTGCCCGGCTTGCATCAAGCAGCAGGCTAGATACTTAGATGCTAAGTAGGGCGGAGCAACAATCTAGGTACGCAGTACGATTTCAATTACACACACCAATGCCTCTGAAAATTTTCCCCATGATCTAGGTCTTCCAATAGTCCTGATGACCACCTCACGTGTCGATTGACAGGAACGATTTGTCGATGAGACTGGCAGTAACAAGGTCAGTCTACCTTGTTAGAATCCCGGCGGAATGGAATGGGCAAGAAGAGATCTGCAAGCGGCTGGCGGCCTTTGCAGCGGTCCCAAGCGGTCCCAAGATCCTTCTGGCTGGACCGGTCCCGAGCTCCTGGCACTGGCCCTCCTACTCTTGGCAGTGGACATTGGCAACATTCCCAAGTGCCAACCTTGGAATGGTTAATAACTACATAAGTACATACCGTCGTCCAACGAGCGATGCGCGTGCATCTTCTTTCCAAATATCTGGCGCTCTTGACTGAACATCACTTCATTCTCAATGTGTACCCAACTCAAAAGGGGACGGGGAGAAGCAGAGTGCCAGACACACATCAGCCCAAGCGAAGAGCTAACTAACCATGACTCTAGCCGTTGAGAAGGAGGTCAGGTGGTCAGGGGGTGAAAGGGTTCGTTACTTCATCGTGATACATCAAGCTCAATATATATAGCACCTACTTCTAGTAGCTTGCTCTCTCTAGCTCAGTGTTGGGTCTATGCCAGGTACAGAGATGAGAGACTTGCTTCTCGTGGTGGCCATGTTAGCGTCGTTTGGCGCGTTGATCTCATTTAACAAAGGAGAGAGCTGAAAACTAACTCACACACTCACTCACTTGGTCGACGACTGGAATTTGCTTGAACTTTCTTGGTTTCTTCTTGTTGTGTTTCCCCCTTCTTCTTTTCTGAAAAAATATCATGGGTTTGATGCGATATTTTGTCGATATTCGTCTTTTGTTGCGTTTTTTTGTGATACCCCTATAGTCTATCCGTCAAATGTCCAAAACTGTTCGAATTCACTGGAGTGGTATAACAACAACACTTGGACACGATGGACCCAAATCAGGCGCAGCAGCCATATCAACCATATTATCAGCAGCCGCCTCGTGTTGTCCCTCAAATCAGCAAGCCGTGGCAGATCACCAAGATCGTATTCGCCTCCCTCTCTATAGTATTTAGCATCATACTCCTCGGCATCTCCATCGCTACGACCGCCGGCGCCGACCTTCTGAGCTACGTGGCGGTATGGACCGCGCCCCAGGCCGGCATTGCTATAATCTGGTCGACGGCCGAGCTCATCACCATATGCGCACGAGCAGGGCATCGCGGCATCCACCCCGGCGCTCACGTCGCCCTTCATCTGCTCCTGTGGCTGGGGTTCTGTGTCGCTCAGGGGCTCAACGGGTTCATTCTTGCATCTTCCCTCGCCTACAACGCGTATTACGACAGCTACGACGATTACTACTCGGACTATTACGGCTATGACGATTACGACTACTCCTACTCGCCTCGTTACATCTCATACCTGCAGGCGGTCCTGGCTTTCACTGCATTGTTGATGTGAGTATCATCACCACCATCATCATCATCCGTAGACATAGCAAGCCCCTTTTTCTTTTTCTTCTCCTTCAGAAAGCTGACCCTTTGCAGCATCGTCCACTTTTTCCTCTTCGTGCGGGCTTGCGTCGAGACGGCCCAGCGCAACAGTATGGCCCGGCCTGTCTACATGATGCCGCCGCAGATGTATTATGCTCCGCCGATGCAGCCCGGGTTCCCAACGCAGCAGCCCATGCAGCCCGGTTTTCCCGCGCCGCCGCCCCAGGCACATATGTCAGGCTACTACGGCCAGCCGGGCGGCGAAGCTCAGACTCAGCCGACTGAGTCAAGCACCGGCCATCAGTCCCAAGTTCCTGCTGCTGGTCCGGGACATGTGAACGAGCAAGATCCAAGCCCACCACAACAGTCTCATCAGCCACAGCACTGATTATCATAGGGAATACGTAGCGCTGGGGGAGAACCCTGGATGAAGTGATAATGATGTAGGAAGGGTCGAGTTGTCAGGAATTCACCATACCAAATCGCATGATACCCCGTTTGCAGCGCGGAATAGGAGAAGCCAACAACTCTGCAAGATATATATGTTAGCTACCGATCTACTTGGACAACACTGATAATACTTATGCTCATCAAGACTTTTGTGTTAAATCTCTCGTTCCATCCGCGAATGTCTCTAGGATATAGATACCAGCACGGATTTCTCATTCGAGGTAGCAAGAGTCATCATCAACAGGCGCGCTCTGTCCAAGCCCACTCCCTCCATCTTTGTCTTCACGCAGTCCATCCTCCACAGATATTCGTCTGCAGAAAACGGCCAATATTTCTATCTGAAGATATTCACATCTCAGTGGCTCGTCAAAGAGGTCATTGCGTATCTAGGTACCTGGTACGTGACTACCTTAATTTTCCCCCTGACGCGTGCAAATCTCCTTTCTATCGTCAGATTCTCAGATACCCCTGACACAAGTCCTTTCCCCTCAACCCTAAATTTCCACCTCGTCACTGCACTTTCTCCAAGCCTAGGCCCCTCGAGCAGATCTCTTGACACAATACATCGTTACTCCTGCGCCAGTGCACGGTGCATTACCACTCATTCAGCCATCAGTCATTTTTACCTACCCCTCTGCTGCTTTGCTTCTTCTTACCCAACCCCAACAGTCTTCTGTCACGGTTGCCTGGATTGAAGTAGCCCCCAACGAATCCGTTGGGTCGAATCTATTTCGACCATCGAGATATTTCCTCGCGGTCTCCTGCTTCCTTTCGCGACATTCGTGCCTTCCTTCTTCGACGAAAACACAACAAACACTACGAGACACCGGATAGCACAGGCAAAGGGAGCCTGGCCACGTAACAGTCTAACTGGCATTCGTTAATTAACGATCGCCTATCTGGTACGTTCTGTTTTATCTGCACCACGGACTAACTTGCATCTGGGCCTTTCCTCCCATTCCCACAGACAACCAAATGCTGGCTCTCACGTCTAACGCCCATATGTCTAGTTTTACGAAAATCACTCAGCCCGGAGTACGATACGATGGACGATACGATGGAGTCTAGAGCCGTCTCAGAGTTGGGCGAGATTTTGTACCAGCAACCGCAACCTGAAGCCCAGGTCCAAGAAGAACTTCCAGGGCCGGTCGAGTACCAACTTACTCACTTGCAAGGCGTCGTCGCCCGTCTTCGGGATCGAATCAAAGGGCTCCAGCGTGTGAACTCAGACCTGACCACGGATATCGATATTCTCGAGGACAAGAATGCCAAACTGGTCCAGCGCGTTCAGTGTCTTGAGAGCGAACAGGAAGAATTTGAGGCCCGGCACCATCAAGAGGTACGAACCGTCAAGCGCACACGTACCGACGCGGTCGAGTTGCTGCGGTACGAGGCTTCCCTAAGCCGCAAGAAAGCCAGGAGGATGAGCCTTTTGATGAAGGATCTGGATGCGAAAGTCAAAGCGGAGGACGATGAGGATGATGGCAACGGCAAGGCGGCCACCCCCGACGGAAGTGAGAACGACGGTAGCAACGACGGGGAGAACAGCGAGACCGCCCAGAACAGAAACAACGGCGAGGCCGCCGAGAACAGAGACCACAGCTCCGAATTCTGGTCCAGCGACAGCTCCACACATGACTGAAGGACGGACTTAACGTCACTTAATGTACCTACAGTCTCCGACTAAATAACCTGAAACGACGAATATCGCGAAGATTTATTCTATTACATATATGACCTCGTCCATCCGTCGTCGTCCTCGTTGCGTTAACTAGTTATACCGAACACAGTCGTTTACCTAACTGTCTGCCTACTTAGGTACATAGGTAGTTTTAGCTAGCAAAAAAAAACGAAGCTTTTTTACTTTTTTTTTCACACTTCCAACGTTCGTGGAGTCGAGTCGCTGAATGTGCGGTCAATGTGGAAAACCTTACCCGGACTGGTTTCGCAGATTTTCTTCAGGGGTACTTAATTGTAAGTATCGTAAGTACCTTGGATTGACAACAACGAACTTCTTTCGCTCAACTAAAACCTAGGTGGTAGTAGTGAAAGTAGTAGTGATAACAGTCTGTCTGATGGAAATACTGAATGAAGGCTCGCGGGATTTAGAAGGGTGACCCTTTTCCCATTTCCCATCTTCTGATTCTCCCTCCTACAGTATTGATATCAGCTGCGGCTCTCCCATTCCCCTGCACCCCCCCTTTTTTCAATATAATTTGGTGGCCCCTTGACCTTGGAACCAACCAGAATATGATTGTCAATTCCGACGTTTACCATTGCATAATCATGCGGCATTAAAACCAAGAGAAGTCATCGATATGTTCAAATCAGATCAAATACAGTTCATATTAAGGGGTATATTTCTACATCACCAACATCGATCCGCCAACATACTATCTACCATCTCTGCCAGAGGCGCACTTCATGTAAGGCTTCCTTTTTTCCTGACATGGAAACACTTCTTCCCCATCCTTCTTTCTCTACTCGTCATCCAGGAACCGACTCGCTATATGGCCGAAGAACGGGACTTCGAATCTGTGCGACACATCAAACGTTCAGCATATTACAATTCATTACAGTACGAGAGCCGAAGGGGGGGCTGCTGCATTTGGCTTACCTGTCGAGCGTATCGGCATCTCTATAGGCGCGCAGGGCGAGGAAACCCATCAGACAGAGATCGGCCAGGATGAAAACCCAGCTCAGGAACCGGGACCACGAGAATAGGAGGTGGATGATGAATATGACGGTGAAGATGAGACTCGACTGCCAGGCGTGAAATCTAGAAAACGGGAAGATATCCGTCAGCGAGCTGGGGTTTTCGGAGCATTAATTGATGGAGATATTCGCAGCCTCCGGATGGTGTGGATTGGCCCCCCCTCTGAACATGGAGAGAAA